ACGTATAAAAGGCTTCGGATGCACGAAATTTACAAAGTGTTATTTTCATTAGCATAAATGTTGACAGGATGATATACTGATTGATTGATTGGTTGTTGGTGTTTAACGCCACTATTAGCAGTATTGGCTAAATCGTGGCCGTCAGTTTTTATTGGTTGAGTTAGCTGGAGTGCTCGGAGAGAACCATCGACCTTCGGAGGAAAACTGACAATCCTTGTCAATTTAAATTAACAAGGTTCGAACTCACAACCTGAGTGTTGACATGCTAGTGATACAGTAGATGAGCTACTTTTTTCTTTTAACGTTTTAGACCACTCGACCACCGAGGGCCCTCAGTTAGAAAAGATATGCCGTGCAAATAGTATATATAAGTAAATAAAAATTGATGATTTGAATCAATCATTTAGATATTGTAAAGAACATGTGTTAGTTAACACCACATTATTGTCGGCTGTTGAAACTTTGCACTAATGAATGTACATATCAAATCTCGTTCCTGTGTGATCTGCATATGAAATTTCAAACCCTACAAAAAAGGTAATTTTGTTACATGTATTTTAATTAAATTTCAATTGTTTTTTGAAATATTTTCTTTTTCCTTGTAATTGCCACTGGCAATAGAAACAACTCTGTTTCAATATTTTATAATTTTCAGTTTCCTAAACAGATGAGTTTCCAGTGGTTTCAGTTTCCTAAACAGATGAGTTTCCAGTGGTTTCAGTCTCCTAAACAGATGAGTTTCCAGTGGTTTCAGTTTCCTAAACAGATGAGTTTCCAGTGGTTTCAGTCTCCTAAACAGATGAGTTTCCAGTGGTTTCAGTTTCCTAAACAGATGAGTTTCCAGTGGTTTCAGTCTCCTAAAAAGATGAGTTTCCAGTGGTTTCAGTCTCAGTCTCCTAAACAGATGAGTTTCTAGTGGTTTCAGTCTCCTAAACAGAAGAGTTCCCAGTGGTTAGAAAATAATCATAAATAACAAGCTGAGGTCACATTATAGGAGGACAGTAGTTGTAATTTGTGGGAGCAACATTTATTTACTTTTTGGACTGTCATATCTTTCAACCAATTTAAATAAAGGGTATGCGTAAATAGGACAGTAACCCATCTCACCGTTGTATTCATATATATACACCATTTTCAATAAGGAATATTGAGTTGATGTCAGACCATTGGCTGTCTGTGCTGAATTGATTAAAACGTATTAGAATCATGGCGATTTTCAACTTTGGTATGTGTGTAGAAATTTTTCTATTATTCAAGGTCACGACCGTCTTCGGAGTAGTTCTAAGTTAACCAGTGTTTATAAATGGCGGATGACAAAATTCAAAATGAATTACTCTGAGTTCGTTCAGAGGGTTTTGTGCTTTTGTGCTTTGTTTTATAGATTTGCTGTTTAATTGGTATATATTATAGTTAACACTCCACCTTTCATGGTAATGATGTTACCAAAATGATTTCGGAAGTGATGTTAACGTATATTTGTTCCGCCTAACAGAAGTTCCCCTGGAAACTTTAATATAAACAATGCCATAATATCTGTTCCTGTTGGAACAAATATTATATGTCCTTTATTCCGTAAGGAACACATTCTGTAATATTTGTTCCAGTGGTAATAATATTACAGAACAGTTCTTCCAATTGGAACTTATATTATGAAGGAACTTATATTTCGTAACAGTTCTAGGGCGTCGCTTCTCGCATGATGAAATATTCTTCAGAAATGTTACCCCATCTGGCCTTTTCCTATGCCATACTTTAAAACTGCTTGCATTGGACATTATTTTTTATCTCATAAATCGTTTCGGTGTTTATATTGAAGGATCCAGAGGGCGTTTCAAGAGTTGGAAACCTACCCTGTTCGTCGGATTTTCTTTAAATCACTCAAATATCGATATAATCGAAGCTGGTATACTCACGTATAAACTCTGAATTTTTAAAATTTCTGCATCTTTGCCTTATCAGGTATTATATGATGATTGATTGTATGTTTAACGTCCAGTGGTAATTATTTCATGCATATTCAGGAAGTTCAGGTATTATAAGAATATATATGTTTAGGGCGTGAGCAGATACTGTACTCATAGTTTTAGTAACTATAACACTGACTTGTACATAACAAAAAAAATAAACAAAAGCTGCTCTTCATCTCAAAGTCACAGTGACATTTATGTTGTGGTGTGGTGTGGGGTGGTGTGGTGTGGTGTGGTGTGGTGTGTTATGTTGTGTTGTGTCGGTATCGCGGATTCGAAATGAATCAAAGTGACAATTCTGCAATAACTGATTGTTCTTTCGGATCACCTGAGTTGACTCTCGATTTTTAGTGGAGTCCGGTTTGCTCAATCTTTAGTTTAATGTTCCGTTGACAGTTGTTTTCTATTTTTGTTTCTTTCTGTCGCAGTATTTATTAACTGTCTTACTTTGACATTATTTTTATTGTCCGTTTGACATTATTTTGTTGCCCGTTTAATATCTTCTTTTATTATACTTCACGTTAAAATGTCATATTTTGATTGGCTAATACGAGGGTGTTAATTTACTCTATCACATGGCTGAGCGGGTGACAATTTTTTTGAATGTCACCCTCTCGTCCAGACCAATCAAAATTCGATAATTTGAAGGACAATATGAATTGAATTTACATCAAGTAATAAAATACAATGCTTAAGTTCTACGTTTTGGCTCAGATTTTATTATTTGACTGTCAAAATAAAAAAAAATAAAACATCTTGCCTCACTTTTGTTGTTTTTTCTAATACCCGTAACTTTGTTATGTACGTGACGTCATAGAAAATACTTTTACAATACAATTAATCTGTAAAAGACAATAATGATAGGACATTCAGTATAATAAATTAAATAACACATAGCTGAGAGGGTGATAGAGTAGATTGGTACGCCGCGGTTGACAATGTTTTCTCGGGGTAACAATCTGCTCTATCACCCTCTCAGCTATGTGTTATTTATATAATGTAGGATCCCTTAACCATTAGTTTCGATTAGGTAGTGCATTTCGCGCGCATCTCGGGTTCACTTGATCTCGTGATAGCGTCCGTAAAATTTACGAAGAGATGTATTTAACTTCACCACTTGTTACTCTTGGTCTAATAGCTTCCTTGTAAGCAGCAAACCTCTATCAAAAAAATGATAATGGGAAATGCAAGCACTGGAATAAAGTTTTGTTCTAAATCAACAAGGATCGACGTTAATTGTCAATTTCTGGAGGGAAGTTAAGATATAATGCAGACTTAACTGTATCTGTTGTATCCTTTGTCTCAATTTCGATGGGATAGATGCATTCTACAAAATCACCAAACCTTGTATTGTTAAGTGGGAGGACATCATCAATAGTAAAGTTAAACGATGATACCCTTCCTAATCGTTTTGGATTAATACATGTGGATTACTTCCCTTTGTCCAGGATTTTGTAATTATATAGTTTCTGTTACAATCAAAAGGGTCTGGATGGGGTTTATAGAATAGGGAATAATGGCAAAAATAAATAATGAATAGAAATAAATGAGCAAAAAATATAAAGAATAGAGAATAGTGTGCAAAAGTATAAGAATAAATGTGGAAAATATAAGAACGTAGAAGAATAAATAAATTAAGAACCCCCATCCAGACCATCATACATCATGTATATGTTTTTCCAAAGTATTAAAATTGAGAATGGAAATGAGGAATATGTCAAAGAGACATTAACCCGACCAAAGAGCAGACAACAGCCGAAGGCCACCAATGGGTCTTCAATGCAGCGAGAAAATCCCGCACCGGAGGTGGTCCTTAGCAGGCCCCTAAATAAAATTGTGTGCTAGTTCAGTGAAAATGGACGTCACACTAAACTCCAAAACATATAAATGAACTAAAATTAAAAAACATACAAGACTAACAAAGGCCAGAGGCTCCTGACTTGGGACAGGCGCAAAAATGCGGCGGGGTTAAACATGTTTTGTGAGATCTCAACCCTCCCCTGTACCTCTAGTCAATGTAGAAAAACAAAAACATATAGCAATACGCACAGTAAAACTCAGTTTAAAAGAAGTCCGAGTCCGATGTCAGAATAGGTAACAAAAGAAACTAAGCAAAATGACAATGATACATAAATGAACAAAGGACTACTAGCAGTTACTGACATGCCAGCTCCAAACCTCAATTAAACTGATTGAAAGATTATGTCTTCATCATATGAAAATCAAGTACAATCCCTCCCGTTAGGGGATTAGTATCATACCATCAGAAAATATATGAGAAGAAATAACCTGTATCATGCCAACAACTGGTTTTAGAATAAATGTGTTTATTTCCAATGCAAAGACCCTATGAGCTAATCAATATTAATACCAAAATATGCAATCCTTAATGACTTGACAACAGTATCGTAACTATATCCTTTCCGAATAAGTCTGTTTAAAGGTTTGGTTAGCTTTTGAGGTGAATACCAACATTTTTGTGCTTTGTAAAGAATATTACCATAAAATATTGGATGTGAAATACCTGAACGTATAAGATGTCTGCATGTTGATTTATATTTACGAATGATGTCCTTGTACCGATGATAAAATTTAGTAAATGTTTTCACTTGTTTGTGATATCGAAATTCCTGGTGTAATAATTTTTCAGTAATACAGAGATTTCTTTCGTTGAAATCAAATACGTTGTTACATACACGAGCGAATCGAACAAGTTGAGATATATAAACACCATAAGATGGCGACAAGGGAACGTCAACATCTAAAAATGGATAATTAACAATAAGAAATGAAAAATCATCTCTTTTATCATAAATTTTGGTATTAAGTTTCCCGTTAAAGATAAAGATATCAAGATCCAGGAAAAAACAGTGTTCATTGTTAGTACGTATTAGCTTTATTTAAAGTCAGTTCGGCAGGATAAATCTCTTTAGTGTACATACTGAAGTCGTCATTATTGAGAGCCAATATATATTGTGTTTCATTTTACATGTAAATGGTAAGGAGAAGGTGGCGTTCACTAGAACAATGAAGTGGATGGAAATAATTTTATTATGAATGATAGATGATTCTCACAATAATAATAAAAATATACATACACATTATAGAAAATAGTTAGAAACTTCTGTGCAATTCTGTGATTCAAAATAACAATTATATACAAAAAATAAAATCCTGTTTGTTTTATTCGTTTTTGGTTTTCCATACGCATCAAAACTTTAAGCAATCATATGAACCAACGAGTGACACGTCCTTAGGTATAATATGAAAAAAAATAGAGAAAAATTGACAATAAATTAGTATGCTCCATAAATTTAAAAAAAAGGGCACGACTCAATACGGAATTTGACGAAGTGTTTGTTTATCTTTTTGCAGTATTTAAGTAGTCATCACAATTTCAAAATAAGAATTTACCTGAAAAGATAAACTGTTTATATACGACGTTGCCTTTTCAGGATATTAAGTGATTTATTGAGGAAAAGGGAAAAGAAACAACCTCACACACACACACATATACCAAAGAGCAAACAAACACAATTTAAAAGGAAATCGTAACAAATGAAAAGAAAAGAAAAAAAAAGCGTAAATATACTCCTGAAAAAAATCAAGAAAACAAAGAAGGAAATGAACAGTAGATTCTAACGTTATATATCACATTTTCTCATTTATATACAAAAAATATATTAGTCTTCCTTCACTGAATTATGACCAAAATTTAAACGTAAGCATCAGTTTTACCCTATCAGTTCCGATCTTTTAAATTGATGTACATTTTAATGTACCTTTATTAATAAACAAAAACACTGAATTGGCCACTTCATGTTCGAATTTCTAAAACAAAACAAAAACCTACACACTTAAAAACCATTCAAACTACACAAATACAACATCAAAACAATAGTAACCTATGACATTTTACTTTTGAGACCATAGTTGAAAAAAACAACCATACATTTCTCTTGAATTTATTTGAATCTTATTCATTTTCAGGTTTTGGTATTAATCACGTGATACATTTCAAAATTTCAAAAGAATAAATGCAAATCAATATCTGGCGTAGAGATCACAAATTTCCGTTCTATACGTAGCAACATTTCGAAGCAGTGAAGGTAAGAAAGGAATCGAAAATTTTTTGTACTTTAAATAAAAAACCTTAATTTAAAGACAAAAGTACATTATCTGCCAACATTTATAAAACACCATTCGACTTTGATGCGGAATAAAAAGAACAAATGTTTTTTAATTTATATTTAAAAAAATCAATTAACCCAAAAGAACTCAGTGGGATCATATCGAAATGACATAATGACTTGATTAATCGGTTTACGATTAAAAAATACAGCCTTTCGTTTACTATTAGTTGGTGAACATGCATAACTTCGAATATGCAATCCCTGTCGAAATCAGAATGTGACAACGTATCTAAATTGCAAATAGTACAAACCAAGCGAAAATTGAAGATGTTTATAATATGGACATGCAGATCTTTAATCATTGAGAAAAAAAAATTCAAATCTTAGGACGTTCAAAATATTTCAATAAAGCTTTGGGTTGAATAACAGGTAATCCATAACATGTAAATCAAATGTATCAAAGTTGACATGACGATTACTTTTAAATTCGTTTCACATTTTACAAAAACCGAAAAAAAACATCATGCAATATGAAAATAAACAGTACTATTATTATATTTCAGGAAAACATTTCTAATATTTCATAATAGTATCTTGAAATTGATGCATATAACAGTAACAGTGTGGTAAAGATTTCAATATCATTTTTTATTCCTGACACACGGATTTCCGGAACAAATTCCAACCCCCTCACCGTCATTGTATTGTTTATTTAACATGTTCAACCTTATAAGCCCATCATTTCAATCATTTGGTCCATCATCCGAGCACGTCGTCCTCCGGGTACCATTGGTCCGCCACCGGCTCCTCCTGCTCCTCCTGCTGCTCCTCCTGGTGGGACATCTCCTGGCTCAGGGCCTACACCAAGAACTCCAGCCCATTCTGGAGTCATAGCTTGAGGACCCCTTGGACGCCAGGGATCGGCTGGACCTGCACCATAAGGACGTGCGTACGGATCAGCGCTATATGGCTGGGCATACGGATCCTGATAAGCACCAGCAGCTCCACCTGCCATTCCACCTCCAAGGCCGCGACCACGCCCTCCTCTACGCCCACCGGGTGGTACATCTGGAGGTTCAGGAACTAAACCAAGCATCTGAAGAACTTGTTTTGTCATTGCTGCTTCCATTGCTCTCTGAATTGGATCAATAGTAGGTCTTGGAGGTCTATTATATGCTTGCGCTGCTCCTTGTAAGGAGGCTTGTGGTTGTGTCATCGCATAACCAGTTTGTCCTTGGCCTGAAGTAGCGGCTTGTGGGTATTGTTCTTGACCTATAGGAGCAGCTTGTGGGTATTGTCCTTGACCTGAAGTAGCAGTGTGTGGGTATTGTTCTTGGCCTGTAGTAGCAGTATGTGAGTATTGTCCTTGGCCTGTAGTAGCAGCTTGTGGGTATTGTCCTTGACCTGTAGTAGCAGCTTGTGGGTATTGTCCTTGACCTGTAGAAGCAGCTTGTGGGTATTGTCCTTGACCTGTAGTAGCAGCTTGTGGGTATTGTCCTTGACCTGTAGTAGCAGCATGTGGGTATTGTCCTTGACCCGAGGCAGCAGTGTGTGCGTACTGAACTTGACCCGCTACTTGTGCGGTGTTTTGTGCGTATTGTCCTTGACTGGAGGCATAAGGCTGTTGATATCTTGGTCTTCGTCTAGGAGGCGGTAATCCTAAAGGTCTGCGAAGCTCAGGGAAAATGTTCATTAATGCAACATGAACAGAACCACGTATGTTTTTGGGATTTATTCCCATTGAGTTCATCAAATCAGGACCAGTTGTATATAGAACTGTAAACAGATCTTGACGAGTTGGAGCCATAGATTTAATCATTTTCAACATAACAGCTCTAGAGATAGGATCTACATCCCGTGGTGTTAAATCTTCAGCATAGTAAATTATCGGTGGTGGAGTAGGGGCCGGTGGTGTGGTTGTCGTTGGAATAGGAGTGGTCGTGGTTGGTATTGGAGTTGTCGTGGTAGTAGGTGGCGCTGGGGTTGCAGCAGGCGGTGGTTGTATATAACCTTGCTGTTTCATTAACTGAATCAGTGCTTCCATTCCTGTCATAGGTTGATTTGCTGTTTTGGCCGTTCTCCCCCTTCCTTGTAAAGCATCCCAGTCAACATTTACCATTCCTCCTGCGGCCATTTCCTGGATGGTTCGAGGTTTAGTTGTCATTTCGATTTGATTTTGGAAAGTTTGTCCTGTCTGTGCAGGTGCTTCTAAATAATTAAGGGTATTGTCTGTAAAAACTTGGTTAGTAGCCGAACTTACAACATTTTGGTATGGTTGTTGTATTTCGACTGCATTTAGTGTAGCGACTTCTCCAGTTCCGCTCGCTGAAGCTAAACTTCCGCCTTGTATATTTGTTGTAGTGGAAGATTGTTGATTTATTATGTCAACAATTTGTTGATTGGTCAAACCACCAGATTGCATAGCTGTGTTCTGAGCAGTTAAAGTATTCATTAAATCTACAAAATTCTGGTTCATTGATGGAGAGTTTTGTGTTGCTGGTACATCATTCATTAAACCAGTACCACTTCCGGCATTAATCAAGGATGACGAACCCACTGCATCATTCCATGTTATAGGTGAAACTGTGGTAGGAGGTACATTATTCCATACATTTGGTGTTCCTGTCGTTTGAGGGTTATACATGTGATTAAAAAAACTCATTGAGGCACCACCGACTGCATCGACAACTGGTGGGTCGGTTGTTGTCGGTTCAGTTGTTGTTGTTGATTGTGTCGTTGTCGGTTGAGTTGTTGTAGTAGTTGGTATTGTTGTTGTCGTCGGTGGTGGTGGTGGTACTGTTGTAGTTGGGGGTTCTGTCGTGGTTGTCGTAGTTGTTCTTTTGGTCGTTGACTTGATTGTAGTTGGTGTGGGTGTTGATTTTATTGTTTTTACAACATCAACCATTTTCAACTCCTTGACGTGATTTATTGCTGAAGGAGTTGCTGGTATATTTCTATCCACGTTTTGCTTAATCCTTCTTATTGTTGTTTTGACAGATGACACACCAGGTTGTAACTGTGGACTGCTTTTAATCTTTTTCATTAGATCAGCCATAGTCAACATCATATTTTCAATTAAGACTTGAGATTTCTTTTGCATTCCGAGAGAAGCTCGAGGAGGTTTGACAGACTGTTCTTTTATCGTTGCTTGTATTTCATTTTTTATTCCTTGGGCACTATCTTTACCCTGTTTGACAACGGTATCAACATCAATTGGCTGTCCAATGTTCTCCTTGAAAACATTATATGATCCTGAGGGTGCAACGTTTTTAACCAATTTAGGAGCTTGTTGTGGTACGTTCAGAACAACAGGTTGTTTTGTTGTAACTTTAGATACACCTGTTGTTACCACAGTTTGTTGTAGCGTCGGTTTTATTTTAGTTGTCGGTGGTTCTGTGGCAATCTGTACATCATTAACTGTTGTTCTTTCCGTAACTACAGCCTTTGCAGGTGTCGATGAAAGATCTTCAACTACTGCACCGTATGAATTTGGTTGAATACTGTCAACTGCGGATCCAAGAACTGGTCGATGAGTTGACAATCGTTCCGTTGTCGTAGGTACTCCTGTAGTTGTAATTTCGACAGGTTTTGCTTCTGTTATGTTTTTCTTTTCCTCTTTTACTGCTACTTGCTTTGTAGATTCAACAGGTGTTTGGGTAGTAGAAGTATGGGTTGTTGTCTTGAAAACTGTTGTACTTGGTGTTGTTTGTGTTGTTATGCCGTCTGTGAAAGGTATTTCAGCCCAGTCATAATAACCCGGCGTTGACATTCCTGATAATTGCGTCCACAAACCGCTATTACCCATAATACCTTGATTGTTAAGTTGCTGTGTTCCATGAAGCATAACTGGTTGTGTTAGCAGCCGATCACTTGGTGCTACTGTTACCCAAGTAGGATTTGCTTCGACCCATGGAGCTTGAGTCGTCGTAGGTGGTAAAGGTTCGATCATTCCGTGGATAGACCATGTATTCGTACCTGCTGTAAGAGGTTCGACTATTTTGACTTGATTTGACTGTGGTTGATCACTAGTAACTGTTGTAGTACTAGGTGCTTTGGTAGTACCCACAGCAGATGTTGTTGTTTCAGCTGTTTGTTCAACCCAGGAAGCAACATTGCTAGTCGTGTCAACAAAACCACTTTGTGTTTCGCTAACAATACCATGATCAAACATAGAGATTCCCAGTAAGCCCTGATTTTGTTGGTTGTATGTAGAATAATCCATAGTCGGGTAAGCAGTTGGATGCATCATTCCTGTAAACTGTGCTATGGAAGGATTGTATGTTCCAGGATTCGCCAAATTACCTATACTATCAGTTATATGATGCGACAACAATGTACCCGATGTAAAATCATTAACAGCATTAGCAAATGCTATATTACTTATATCAAACTGAGAAGTCGATAGCGGGTTAGTTTCCTGAATTGTTACTGGTTGCTTCTGTTCAGGGGACTGATTTACGTTTATAACTTTCCATTCCTGACCTTTAACTGGCGATATTGCTTCAGTCATAGATGATGATGATGAAGACAATGACGGTGCTGACTGGTGACCGTTTACAATTACAGTTGTTTTAGTGACAACATCCTGACTTCCTGTGGACATAGCAGAAGTTTGGCCTCCTTCAATTGATGCGCCTTGACTTCCGGTAGTCGACGCACTCGAATTTCCAACGGAAGGTACAACCTGACTGCTAGATGGTGCCGATTTAACGTTTCTTTTGGTACGTGACAGCTCAATTACTTCAACATTGTCTCGTAAAGTACCGGGATCCTGTGTTGGGGAAACGCCATTAGATTGGTCATTCTTTTGAACTGAAGTTGTCATACCGATATAAGGAAGATTAATCACGTCTTTTGTAACAACTTCCTTGTTATCTAACGAACTTTTATCGATTCGTTTCGTATCTTCGGGTAATGAATTGACAGAATCAACAACAATATTATTCTTGGCCATTAGTACATTCGACTTTGTCTCGGTGACTGATTTTGCAGTTGATACCGGAACTCCATATAAATCGCCTTTTCCTATCAAAAATGAATAAGTTGAAGACTTTCCAAGAGGGTTTTCACTAGGTGAGACATCTAAGGATTGAGATTCTGGTTGAATTATTGGAATACTGAATTCGTTTGTCACTTCATTAAGAGTATTTCTGAATGAGTTGTGTCCCCTTGGTAATATAGAAATGTCAGCACAGTTATATATTTCAGTTTGGTCGCCGCAACCGACTTGACTACTTCCATTTGCACATCTTCCCCAGTGGAGAGCTGAAAAAGACAATATATGTTTTATTAATTCATGGTATTCACATTATCTCTCTGAATTCTTACAGAAGTTTTCTGAATCTTTAAATATGAATAAAATAAATAATACTGTAGATTCAGAAATTATTGCGAGGTTTTTATTAATGCGAATAATGCGACTGGATGCGTATCGCAATGATAAGATCTCACATTATGATATCTGATACATATGTCTGTAGGCAGCTTTTCCCGAAATCGCAATAATCAATCTCGCATTTTCGTCCATTCTTTTAAAATCGCAATAATAAAAGCATGCAATAATTTCTGAATTTACAGTACACAAAAATGATAACATGAATCACCAACAATACTGTACATTAAAACAGAAAGCATTCAACACCCAACTCCTCCAAAAACAAACACAACAACGAACATACTGTGCATTACAACAGACAGCATACAACATCCAACACCCTACTCCTCTAAAAACAAACACAACAAAGAACATCACATGGTCCACAGAGGCTGGCTTTGTACACGCACACAATGACTGGTGAAGTAAAAACATTTTTACATGCGCACACACTTAACGCTTTGCTTACTTAAACCAGATGTCGTAAAACTAAAACACACAATAAAACACTTGTAGTCCAGGTACAAACAGGACCAAGGAAATAAAACGGCACAAAACAGGGTCAAAATGTGCTTCCTAATAAAGGTGGGATATACTGTCAATCAGGCAATATGTCTAGCTTAATCAAATATCGTTGTTCAATAAGGCAGCAAGACAACGACACATAAATCAATAGTCATTTAGAGTTCACCAGACGGTCTGCATTAATTGACAATATCTATACTATATAATATGACAAACTCCAAATTGTCCATAGTCTAGAAAAGTTGTGAGTACATTCTTGTTCCACACAAATTATCTAAGACCTCGATTTTTAGTCAAAACACTTTACATATAGTACTCTGAGTACAAAATGTGTGCTCGAAATTCCAATATTAGTGTTTTATTGGTTGATTTCCGAGTCTGAGGACGATAATCGTACTCGGATTGTTTATATAAATCAGAAGATATGGTATGAGTACCAATGAGACAACTCTCCATCCAAGTCACAATGTGTAAAAAGTAAAAAAATATAGTTCAAAGTACGGCCTTCAACACGGAGCCTTGACTGTATGACTGTATTATGACTGTATTAGTATCGAATTCCCAATAGTTTTGTGGTCCATAGCAATGCCGAGAAAAAATTTCATCTTTTTCATTAATTTGAATTTTGGACTTCCGAAATTATATCAGCGGTATCAATTTTACTGCTCCAGATGCCCAATTTACTTATGGGTTTTGTTCACTGATGAAGGCCGTATAGTTCTTTAAATTCTTGTCTTTGGTGGATATTTGACACATTGGCAACCATACACCGTCTCCTTTTTTATATATAACATTCACAATATCCCACAGACAGTCTCTCGCATGGATTTTATTTGAAAACTATTTCACTTTCCTAAAAGATCTTGGTGAGAAAAGTATTGGTCTTTACTATTATAGCATTACGTCACCATACGCATATATATTTTTTATATATATATATACATGTACACAAGTCGACCAGTTTTGTCAATAAGCATGCCCATGACTGCAGAACAGGAGATAACAAATGCACAGTACGAAAGATTACGGGTTTACTAAATCATTAAAACAGTCATACAATGCAGAAACTTTTGGGAAAATTTCGGCAAACGGTACCTTTTGCAAAAAAATGACCTTTTCGAAAAAATGGCCTTTAAGATTGAAAGACAAAATTTCTACCAGTCTTTCATTCAATACGAAACTTTCAATTACATATTTTTTACGGTGTGATGTAACACAGTTTGAACAATTGCTGTCATTTGCGAGCGCAATATTGTGACCTGTAGAGATGTGTTTTTTTATTAAGTTATGTTGTTTGGCTGCTGTCTATTTGACGTTTACTCAATATCGCCTTTTATCAATATCTCAATTTAATCCTTTTAAAATCAAATGCATTCTTACATGTAGTAATACTTTAATTAACAGTGTGACTGGTGAAGTACATAGTCAACAATGCCATTGTGGTCTGTTCATTTTGGTGTACAAACAATGAAATTATTCACAATAATTAGTATTTTAAAACGGCCAATTGTAACCTTGCAAACAGCGTATTCGTGACATGTAAGTAGACATTTTCATTTTTTTCTCGAAAAATATCATTATATTTGAATAATAAGTGTGAATGATGGCTCACATAAAACAGTAATGGGTTTACTATGTCGAGTCATATAAAAATTCTTCTATTGGCAATTAATATAATTTTATGGAATATGTGTCTGTTCGTATTACTCATCGTTTTAGTTTTTGTTTACTACAATGAGAACCAAAAAAATCAACTTTTCTTCAGCACCACTTCGAATATGATTATATTTATTTATAATTTATTTACTTACTTATTATCGTTACTATTATCATATCTGACTTTTAAGTTCTACTAGAATAAGTTTCCAGAGTTATTTAATTTTAGTGGACTTTTGGTAAGAACAACTGAGAAAACATGCATGTTCCAATGTATACATGTAATTGATGATTCAAATCATGATATTTAAAAAAAATATACCTGTATGCCATTTCCATTGAAGGACACATCTTTCGCAAACCAAGCCCTTTGGCATAGCAATTTGCAAATACACATTTCTGGCACTAGAAGGATAGAAACGTTGCCCGTGTCCAACAATTTCCAATGGAAAACGATCTAAACATTCCTGTGACACTGGATTATTATCAGAAACTTCAGGACAAAGTCGGAATTCAAAATATCCGTGTTTGTTCTTCTCAACTTCTATTTCAATATTAATGTGAGAATCGTCTGTATGATAAGTTCTAGCAATGAGTCCATTAAAATATTTGCCACCCATTTCATTGGGGCGGGGATTTGAATCCCATGGGTCGCCACAGACTCCACATCTGCCTTTGTTTTCCTGCCACTGGTGCTGTAATAAAGAAAACATCAAAATAAATATCATAACCTATATCATTTTTTAATTGGATGTAATTGTCATTTTGTAGGGTCATACAAAGGTCAGTTGTCTTGTTTGATTGCTTCTGCTTTTTACTGACAAGCCTTTTAAAGATACACTTTTGCTATTTAAGATAAATATTTAATAACAGAGGGATATTTCTCTGACCTGACAAATGTGATTTAAGGACAGCGTTGTATGATATATTAGTTTCATTACAAACACACATAAGCTGATATTTAAGGAATGACTGTAATATTTTTTCTGTCTATGAAGAAATAACATCAAAAATGTGGTGCACACTGAATAACCCGCGTAGCGGGTTATTTAAAAGTGTGCACCACATTTTTAGGTTATCTCGAATAGACAGAAAAAATATTACAGTCATTCCTTATAATTTAATTCTAAATTCCATTTTTAAGGAGTAAATTTTGAAAAAAACGTTGGTGACGTCACGGTCACATGACAAAATTATGTCTATGAGCTGATAGACAAAACACTTTCAGCCAATCAGAAGACGTGTTACATCCAAAATTAAATTATTTAAAAGAGAACATAATGTAAGGGACCGATCATTCATTTTATGTTAGGTATAGGGTCTTTTATCCCAGGAGAAACTGTTTTTTCAAGCTGAAATAAAAAAAAAAAACATTTTTTTCGGCAAGATACAAGAACAAGACTTTTTTTAAATCAATGTTGTTTTTATTTATAGTAATTTTCAATAGTAAAAAACACTTCCATTCAAAACAAAATTTTAAGAATATGAGACCTTTCTGTACAAAGTTTAAAGAATATAATACCTATTTGAAGCTATAAAGTCATATGAAACGAGTTTCTTGAAAGTATATTGTTATGTTTAAGTAAGCCGCAGCAATTTCTTGTTTTATTTACATGTAAGTTAATATGAAACACATCAATGTATAGGTGTAAAAACTTCCTACAATATCGGACAAAACATGGCAAATCTCGTGGTAGTTCGAGTGGGGGAGGTTGTTTTCCGTCCCCGGCATTGTCAAACCGAAGACTTGAAAATGGCATTTGCAGTTTCTCTGCTAAATACATGACATTTGAGAAGAGCTTACTGGTTGGAACGGAGTTATTATAATGTGTCCGGGACACTGTGGACTGTAACTTTATGAACTAGCACGTTAAAAATACGGAATAATTTTTATTTTCAATAACTGATGTGTATTGCTTATCACATGTATCTAAAAAACAAAGTCATGATTTAGAGAACGATGTCATTTCGAATATATATACCCTACAAGAAGTATACATTATAAAATGGCTTAAGGACATGGTGTATCTAATACTTGGTAAATCTTTTCAACATCATCACTATTATGTACTATTTTATATGTTGATATGACTCCTTTGGTGAACCCCTGATCACGTCAAATATTATATATGACAACAATACAGTTTAAAAATAAAGATGTCAAATGCTATAGAAATGTATATTCTTTTCCTCGATTGTCGGTAAACAAACGTATAAAATAAATAATCTGACAGCCACTGAAAAATGGATTGTCAAAAATGTATTTTCCTTTTTTTTTCTCTTGATTTTCTTGGTGTTTTTTGTACAAAGCGAAATTCCGACTATTAGCCACCTGAAATTGATATTTATTTTTGGGGAAAAGAGAGAGGACATGGTTTCAATCTTTAATAAGTTGTTTTATTCAAAAATTTCTTGAACAAATAATTTGTTTAAAAAGGGAAGATAAAACGATAGTTTGTAATGGGTTTTCTGCATTCCTCATGAAGGTTAACTAGAAAAGCGATTCAGACGCGCGAAATTATAAAAAATTGTAGAACTGGGTCGATACCACTGCTGATGGACTGTTAGTACCCGGATATTCCATATATCTTACCCAGTATCCGCCACAGTTTAAGCCATCATCATCTTGATTTACTGGTGAACTGTAACCTTTTCGCCATAGTGATGACCTTTGACATGGTTCAATCATTCGACCTCTGGCATTGGCACATGATATGGTTGATAAGAAAATAAAAACTAGAAGGAAATGTCTGAAAGTAGAAAATTGCGAAAGAAATTAGACAGTTTAAACATACAAACAATCAATTGCTAGACATCTTTAACCAGGAAATTGTATTAAATCGATATGCTATACTTGGAGAAATTTATATCTTGATATATAGTGTAGAAACTTGTCTACTGTTGAACACAGTTTACGTTAATTCTGTGTTGATAGGCTGCTGTCTCATTTACATACACCACCATCCCCTTTATTACCCCAGGCATAGATTTTCTCGTTTGAATTGTTTTACATTTGTCATTTAGGGGCATTTTATAGCTAGATATGCGGTATGTGACAAAGGCCGTACGGTACCAATAGTTGAAAAGAAATCTGAGTCAATTGGTCTCTGATAAAGAGTTGGCAATCATACCGGAATATTTGGTTCTACTCCGTATTTGATTTAATCTTATTATTCAAACGTATTTGATTCTGATTATTCTGATTATTGAACTTATCCGATAAAAGCAGTAACCTCATACATATTGGAAGAGAATCGGATAACCAACGTTGGCGCAATATTGGCAACAAAAATTGGTATGGGATATTGTTAAGTTAAATATTCCCCCATATATATTGTTTGCAGTCCACCCCGGAAAAAAATAGTTCCAAAATTTTTCGGATAATCGAACTAATTCGAAGCTTTGATGATAAAAAACCTTCATACGATCGGGATCAGATAGAAAGAATGCTGGAGACAAAAGAGTGATGCAGGACAGATACACTGACATACGGACGGACGGACGGACTGATTCATAGACGGACGGTTAGGTCAAAATCATAATGACCTCCGTAACAGAGGTATAAAAAGATAAAACAGTAAACAAACACGACACTAAAAACTTTAGATAGAGAAAATGGGCTCAGCCGCTATCTTCAATTGCTTCGGAAAGGAAACAGTCGATACCCTTGACCTATTGACCAACTATATGTGTTTCATGCGAACTTAATCCCGTATAGGTAAACAAGAAAAGACATTCATCCCTCCTATCCCCATCACTCAGATTTGTTTGTCTGTTTTAATTTGGAAAAGACAAACGCATGCGCAGTTTCTGTGCTATCATGCACTATTCCTATATTGGTTATGTATGTAAACGTCCATTAATTTGATAAAAAAGGAAAATGAAAAAATCCACAGCCTCAGGCTTCATGTACAATTGCCAAAGATATAAACGGTCAAGATTCTGGTTATTTCCACTTTGTCGATTATTCCTTTAACTTTCATTAATTAAATATGTTTCAGTGGTGAATATGATTAATAGTCTCTTCTTTAAGTAATATGTAAGCTTAAATCTTATACTTTGTAGAAAGTAGAAAGGGACACGTACAGGGTGACCCCATAGTGTAGAAATGATACAAAAAATATCAAAATTGCGGTTTTCATCCATCTGTAAGCACGTATTATTTGATTAAACAATTACACAGCTATTCTTGCGCGTGTACTTTTAAGTGCTTAATATAATTTTTCAGCACTGAAAATGTACTTAAATAATAAAGAACTGATATAGTACTTTCGAACTATTGTACTGTACTTATGTACATGCACAAATATGAAGTTATACTAGTTTTGTATCTCCGTTGTGCAGTACTATGAAGGTACAATAATTATATAGTACTTCTTTGTTTACTATAATTTGATAGGAAATTTAGCTGAAAGTGCAATTATATAAAAGTACTAGATTGGTACATGATAGCCTTTTTAAAACTTGAAATGTCCTAAAAATAAAAAAATATAAAACTGTACATTCAACTTGAAGCCAAAATCCAGTACTGTGAAATTATGGGACTGAAATAGTACAATATCTTCGAAATACTGATAAAATTTCACATTATTTCGGTACGTTTTCAGTACTTGACTATACGTTCATTTGCGTTGATCCTTTCTTTTCATTTTCGTCCGTGCCCATACATTTAACCCTTGTACAACCCCCATAAATAACTGAAAGCACATAAAATAATATTAGATATTTATCAACTTATGTACGTGTTATAAATTGTATATACACTCTTAAGGTACAATGCTCGTTGTTGACCATGTTTTATAATTTCTCAACAATTTGTAATTGACATATAGAAGGTGCCATTCAATGTCCTGTAACGACAACATGTTTACGACCAATTTACGGCCTTTCACATGGAAACATGCTCGAGTTATGTCCCTTTTCTGTCAAATTGTAAGTACAAGGTGTAAAAGTACACGTGAATATATATGCATTAATGTAATAATTACGTAAGATATAAGTTAATCGAACGTAATAATTGGGGTTAGGAATGTTTACAAATGATAATTAACCTGTTATAGAGGTCATGAGACGGGGTTTCAATGTCACCTGGTCAGGTGCAATACACAAAAGAGCAGTGACATTGTATAATAAATATGTTCAAATAAATATTTTTTGTACTTTTATTATATAAATTGGTTATTAAATTCATACTTGCTCCAGGATAAAAATGTCATCCTGTATGATGTACAATGTAATAAATTGTTGTATCTTATAAATTTGTTTAATTTCGGGAGAAGGAGGCATGTTTTTTACAATAAATTGTGTGATGCTTACATTTCTTGAGAAAAAAATTTGATTAGAGAGTAATTATGCAAAAAAGTTTGTTTCTGTGGAAAATGGTAAAACATATAAAAATTTAATTAAAAAAAAATATTGTTTATGTTTGTCTATGAAAAAAAAAGTTTTTATTATTGAAGTCGATAAAAAAGTGTTCCCCCCAAGGGACAATAGTTATCAAAGGTACCAGGATTATAATTTAATACGCCAGACACGCGTTTCGTCTACATAAGACTCATCAGTGACGCTCAGATCAAAATAGTTATAAAGCCAAACAAGTACAAAGTTGAAGAGACAAAATATGCCCCATCAAAAACCACACACACACACAATATGTATGTTCAGTACCGTTTTATGCAATATAAATGCCTTGACCTAATTATTTACAATGAATACGCATGCTTTGTTAAATCTTGTGGTCCATAAAAACTTATTTTTGGTTGTCATAAAAATATATTATAGGGATAAAACATGTCATTACCATTCGTTATGAATAAAGACTTTTTGTACATGTGTGAAGGGATAAAACTTGACATCATTTTCCGCAACAACTGACACTTGTTGGAAAGTAATATGATCTGTTAATGGTTTTTCTCTTATTTTTAGAGATGTAATTAAACATTATTTATTTGTTTCGTGTGTTACAAACAACGGAGTGGCATGTTGAATCATAAAGGAAATTGTCACATAGAATAAAAATCAGTTGTAATATCAAAGGCAAAATACATATGTAGATAGTTTACCGAATTGGAAAATCCTGTCATTTCTTAAACCATATATGGTGTAAAATAAATCCTCTCCTGAGCATGAAGCCTCTTTTTGCGATAAGTAGTATCGTCTTAAAATTTCACATTTTAAAAAAAATTGTGACTTTTAAGCTATGAATACATAATCAACTGTCAAAGGATGTCTGAGTTATCCTTCATTGATGCTGTTTAAAGTAGTTGGTTACAGAAGCAATCTTTAGAGAATTCGACAGATTGGGGGAGGGGTGACTTTCTTTGTGATTGTACTCCTTGCGAGAAGCCACCAAATGGCCATTGTTTAGTCTGGACAGTTGTCTTATTGGCACTCATACCACATCTTCTTATTTATATTGTATGTTTTTTTTTAATTTTGGTTCATTTATATGTTTCGAAGTTTAGTGTGACGTCCATTTTCGCTGAACTAGTATACATTTTTGTTTAGGAGCCAGCTGGAGCCCGCCTCTGGGTGCGGGAGTTTCTCGCTGTGTTGAAGACTCTTTGGTGGACTTGGGCTATTTTTTACTCTTTCGTTGGGTTGTTTTCTCTTTGGTGCATTCCCCGTTTTCATTCTCAATTTTATAAGTAATTCTACCTTAAGGATGTTCGCTACTCTGTTTTAAAATAACAAGCTTTTTAAAAGACTGTTCTAAATTTATAGTATATAAATAAAGGAACCAAAAAAGCAGAAAAAAATTAAGGGTCCGTGTACTTGTTTTTGAGATATAAGCCATTGAAAATTTGGCGGGAAATGATTCTCTCTAGATTTTTCATACTTTTAACATTGTCCGCTTTTCTCTTTTAAAAACTATGAAAAAATAACAAGGATTATATAAGATTTTCAAATATGGCTTTTAAAACTATATGAAATAAAATTATGAAAAGAAAAGTAGGGGTTAGTGGACAAAATTATTTAATGGCAAAACATGGATAAAACCAGAGGATTCCGAAAATCTGGCAAAATTTTAAAAACCAGAGGAGCGAGCATCCTTAAGCCATTTATAAACCCACTGTAAGATTTTACGTGTTTCGATTGTCTCTATTTGTTTCTCAAAATTTGAAAGCTTTTAAACCGGTTGAGGCAGTTTGATAAACCATTTTTAGATTTAATATGTCTCGTAAAATTTCCTGCCATATTCATTCGGAACGTTCCACACGCCATTTTCCATTAAAATATTAGAGAATGAGATACTACCACTTCCCCCGCTGACTATAATATCTATCTGTATAATGAAATTATTTTTTTAAATGCTCAGTACACCTCGCACATGTGAGTTGCAATGAAACTATTTCGAGTATATACACATCGTAATCAACGGTGTTGCATGGTTGAATCTATATTTATCAATCTCCCATGTAACACACGATAGAACGAACAATTAACAAACAAAACACGGAAAATAGAAAATTGTTCAATCATTCCTTATAAGGAATGACAAAAAGTACAATCACAGTCACATATCTACATCTACATGTATAATTAGATAAGAAACTTCCGATGTTATTTTTAAACGCAGAGTAATACCATAGTTTCTTTGATGGACGAATGGTCCTATAATTGTACGATCACTGTTTGCATTTTGCCGTTTTATAATTAAAAAAAAATATTGATAATTTCCTTGTGTGTACCTCGAAATGAAAAAAAACGCCAAGTATGAAGCTTACACCAATCAAAAAGTCTTGGTGTACGCTTTTAAAAAAAAAGCCTTATAACCTGAGACTATCCATAAAAACTAATTCTTAAACATTCACAATCATGCATGACTGCACTTTAAAGATAAATTCAACTATAGTTTTTTACAAGAAATATTGAAACGTCGTATCAGAATCGAATGCATTTTTTTTGGCAAAGAGAAACAACTCCTAGGTATTCCAAATTGTTTCCTTGTATATGTAAGTTTAATGAAAAGGGCATTGAGCTGGATCTGACATTATTTTGAATTCGTAAGAGCAATTCACATTCATGTTATAAATGAGACTAAAAAAGTGATTTCGCAAAGAAAATTTATAAAAGATTACGTACATGATCTAAAAAAGTTTGACCTTTCTATGATTCAACAATTTCAAACATTTCGATTTTTTTTTAAAGTCGGTAATAAGAAAATGAACTACAATTGCTTACTCGTTCCTGTGGTAATGCATTGAGTTTTTAGGCATAACTAATTCAAACGTTTAAAAAGTTAACGTGCTTGAAAACTGTGTTAGTTACGTCAATGTTGAACCTCTTAGATATATTTTGAAGAACTGTCGACGAATCCTTGCAATATGAATGAAAAGATATGTTGAGTATGCGTCAATGAGGCAACAACTCGGGCGCGGATCCAGCCATTTTTGAGAGGAGAATTCCAACCCCCGGAAGATCATGAAACGTTCACATAATTAAAATGAAAATAGAAAAAGGGGTGTTCAAGCCCCCGGGACACCCCCTGGATCCAACAATGCAACACAACGACATAAGAAAACCAAGACTTTTGAAAGTCTGTTTAAAACGTTTATTTTAACATGTAAAAGATATATGCATGCAACTTACAATTGTTTTGGGTTTTTGTGTCATTTTATTGCTGTCTCATTGACGTATGCCCCCTTGTCTTCTTTTACTCACATCGACATTATTTCATTTTCAAACAAATTGATGATAAATGATTTACTACGTTATAAAAATGCCGTACTGTTTTTCGACTTGCTTATAGTATTTACATTCTAGGAATTAAAACTTCAATGTATTTTACTGGATAAAAGCCAATCTAAAAATATTGCAACATTTAAAAATTCACGCACGACTTCAGATTCGTTTTCACTTGAACATTAAAGTACTAGAATGACGAGTTCATGCGCTTTTTTATAGACAATAGTCAACCTCTTTGTACACTCATATAAAATTAGTACAATTATCATAATTAAGTTAATTCTAACCAATAGAATGATCCGAAAAACTCATTGATATTAGTAACTCCTAAAATTTAGCAGGATTTCATTTCTGCTTCTATTTTTGAAATATATATCTAAATGAAATCATGTGCATATTCTAGTTTTAAATATTATAACTTACTTTATCAAAGGCATAGTATTTACAATTATCCAAGAGTCTGAACCTGCAGAAGTTGCCTTGGCGACCCGCGCCGGTGGCCGAACCATGTCGTTGCTGAATTCACAATAAGTGGCAACAATCCTACAAAGTTGTTCCGAAAGGATTGATAGACAGTCTTTAGTGTCTTGGACTGTTTAATTGGTCCTTGTCATAACGGGGATCACAAAAGGGCAACCATGATGAAATTCATAAAACACAATATATCTAATTGTAATTAATTAAATATATAAATAACCCTGAATACATATACTGATTAACAACGTGAGATGATCATGCAAGTCAAATTAATTATAAAACAAAAGTTGTGTTTTACAGAAAAAAATAGAGATTTATGTTTTGCTTCAACGATGGCCGGGTCGATATAATAAATCATGAATTATGATCCCCAGTGACAATCAAACACCTTAATTTTGTTGTACATCCATAAATACAAGATGTTTTGTCAGAAATTCGTGTATCTGTCACATTTAGACATATCGTGTCGCCTTTACGTCAAAATACGCCAAATTTTCAACTCATACGGAATTTGCTGCCTTTTCTCGTAATTGACCTTTCAAACTGCAGTGATTGTTCAGTAGGTTAAGAAATTTTATGGTTCATTTCCTGTATATGTTTCTGTCGCAGAATTGAAAGCCGAAAGATGATGAAACAAAGAAGAATTTAAATATCAAGAGTTTCAATTTATATCTAAAGGATTTTACCATTTCTACAAAGTTTATGTCCGTATAAATAAATGCTATAATATTATAGTTTCAATATTACGGTTAGAGGCAATGTCCTGGAAAAATTTGCCAATTTCTCAAATATTTTTTATAATTTGCCTGGATGGACACCAACGTTGAACATGATTTTTTCTAATAGACTATAAAAAGATTTTCTTAAGATCGGAGTTTTATTTCGATTTCAAATGAATTTACACCTCGAATACCCAAAGCTAAATGTCTATAGAAAATTTGGTAAACTCATCTTTAACAATGTTCAGAAATACGATGTAATGTTGTTCAAACTTTAAATAATACATGTTACGATGTACTAAGCAGTGATACTGAGAATTTTAGTAAGAATTATTTTTTTGAAATATCCATTCTAGTGAACAAATTACAAGTGGAAAAGCTTTAGCTCTTCTTTATGTATTCAAAGCATTAATGTAGAAAAACTGAATTTGGTTACAAGACTTTTCATGACCAAAATGTGCATTTAAAAAATTAAGTTTAAAATCAAAACTTAAAATTTTGGTCTCGGTTATTTGTGACATTGGATTGTCGTCTATTCTACGTATTTATTTGTTCATTTGTTTGCAAATTAATTTTGAATTCGAACCATAAAGTAAAATATATATCCAGAATTATATCACATGAACATAATTTTAGTTTCAACGGCTTTCTAAAAGGCCAAGAGCTGGAAAAGCTGACGACCAAGAGACTCTTTCATTTAAAACTACATAGCGATTTAGACTAAAAAATACTTTGTATTTAATGAATTTAAAAAGATTGCACATAAAATTGTGAATGGAAACGGGGAATGTGTCAAAGAGATAACAACCCGACCAAAGAGCAGAAAACAGCACAAGGCCACCAATGGGACTTCAAAACAGCGAGAAAATCCCGCATCCGGAGGCGGGCTTCATCTGGCCCTTAAAATAATGTATACTAGTTCAGCGAAAATGGACGTCACACTAAACTCCGAAACATATAAATGAGCCAAAATTAAAAGACATACAAGACTAACAAAAGCCAGAGGATCCTGACTTGGGACAGGTACACAAATTCGGCGGGGTTAAGCATGTGAGATCTTAAACCCCCTTTTTACCTCTAGCAAGAATGAGTTGAAGAAAAACAAACCTCATTTTTAAGTCCATCTTGTATTCATGACAACTATGATATCCAAGTTAAACTTAAATGAGTTTCACATTACATATACACGTACACATTTGGTAAACACCAAATGTAATAGTATCAAAATTAAGGGCAACATCGCAATCGCAATCGAAAAGAAGAATTTATCAATCAGTACACATCCAACATCCAATGGATTTAGTGTAAAGACGTCATTAACAGTCAGAGAAAAACATGACCTTGTGCAATGCCAAAACGGAGGTACAATGTATCAACATATTGTAGTACCGTTAATGTGCATATGTGTAAATTTATAACAAAACTATTTAGTATGATTTTAATTTACTGATAACAAAATCAATATTTATACCAATAAAACAATATTCAAAGATCTAATTACATTGTTGAATTGGTAACCTTTTAGAATAAGTTTATTACATTGTTGAATTGGTAACCTTTTAGAATAAGTTTATTTAAAGGATTTATAAGTTTAACCGGATCGTATATAAATTTCCAGGCTCGGTAAACAACATCACCGTAAAATTTAGGATGTGCTATTCCGTCTGAAATAAGTTTTTTAACAAGTACAGCCAAACATGCAAACCTAATCTTTATATCTATGGAAGAATTTAGTAAAGGTTTTAAGTAATTCGTGGTAACGAAATCCCTGACTTAATAATTTACAGTAATACATAGATCACGCTCATTGAAATCCAAAACGTCACTACTGACACGGGCATAACGAACGAGTTGGGATATATAAACATCGTAAGATGGTGCCAGAGGAACATCACCGTCCAAAAAGGAAAATTAACAATAGGGAAAGAAAAATCATTCCTTTTGTCGTAATTTTTTGTGTAGAGGCCTGCTTTGTACTAGACCCACACACCGAGAGGGTGCTATTTCAGAAGTCGGTAGAAAGACATGGCACCCTTTCCGAACACATTTGTTCTGCCTTCGAGCCGAACAGTCTTTGCTCTAATTACTGCCATGTGCTAAGCGGAGACATATAAATGGAACGTCACTCGAATGTTTCCAATTGATAATTAACCTGTTATAATAGAGGTCATGAAACCGGTTTACAATGTCACCTGGTTAGATGCAATACACAAAAGAGCAGTGACATTGTATAATAGATATGTTCGAATAACATATATACTTTTATTATATAAATTGGTTATTTAATTCATACTTGCTTCGGGATAAAAATGTCACCCTGTATGATGTAATGGGTTGTATCTACATTGTATAATAAATTAAAACTGGTACATGTAAAATTGTCAGTAATCAACGGTTTCTAATCGTACATGTTTGCAGTTAAAGTGTGCAAGTCTATATACATGTATAGTGGGACAAAATGTTGTACATTGATATGGAAAGTCACCGACTCTCAATTTCTAGGTATGATTTACTCTATGAAGAACAGGATCTGTTGTTACGGGCAATGGAAAATTTCGAAATCCTTGCAATCTTTTTTCTAAAACTATTGGTGATAAATACATCCACACATCGGATTGAACTTCCAATGGTATTTTTAAGCGACATGTAAAAGAATCAATGAATGGCAAAAGTATGTAAACCAACATAAAACGTGTAACCCAACATTAAACATGTCAAAATATGTATGATATTCCTGAAAGAATTATGAGAGACTATAAAAATTATATAGGTAACGAGTATATAATATTATGTACTAGCAATATGTTGAATGTTAATATCATCGTTGGTTTTGTAAATCACAATTACACGATGATATAAATAATCAACAGGTGTAAACGTTGTAAGGTACTTAGTATTCATGAAGACTATAGAGAGCATTATTTTACAAATATTTTTCCATCCCGTAGACTGCACTGCCTTATGTTTTTTGCACATTTGGATGTTGATACCTTCTGAATGTGGACTGTTAATCCCCGCGGCTATCAGCAGCTCAGTAACTTGAACTGGTTCTGGCATGAAAATACGGATATTGTCTAATTGAATTTTTTTGTTATTGAATTTTGGTAATCCTTTTATATTTAAAAAGAATATATCTCCCTCATAAAAAGCTCTGATTTCTTGACCGGATTTGGCTATACTTTAGGTACTTTTTGCTTTTATCTACTTTTCATCGTTTGTATTAGATTTATATTTTCAAATGTTTTTGCCTCGAGCATACTGACGAGAAATTGATAGTTGAAATGCGCATCTGGTTCAGAACAATTGGTACTGTTAATGATAGAGTAATCAATATTCATGCAGGAAGTATATATCCTAAATATATGATCATGCGTGAATAAAGGCAACAGTAGTATACCGCTGTTCGAAACTCATAAATCGATATGATCATGCGTCAATAATTTAGTAGCAATGACTCGATTCCAACATTTATCATTTACATATGATCATGAGTCAATAATTTGAGAAGCAAGTACTCGATTCCAACATTTATCTTTAACATATGATCATGAGTCAATAATTTGAGTAGGAGTAACTAGATTCCAATATTTATCCTTAACATATAATCATGCGTCAATAACTTGTGTAGTAACGACTCGATTTCAACATTTATCCTTAACAACATATGATCATGAGTCAATAATTTGAGTAGCAATGACGCGATTTCAACATTTATCCTTAACAACATATGATCATGAGTCTATAATCTGTGTAGCAATCATTCGATTCCAATATTTAACCTTAACGTATGATCATGATTCAATAATTTGAGTAGCAATGACTCGATTTCAACATTTAAATAAAGACAACAGTAGTATACCGCTGTTCGAAACTCATAAATCGATATGATCATGCGTCAATAATTTGAGTAGCAATGACTCGATTTCAACATTTAACCATAACATATGATCATGAGTCAATAATCTGAGTAGCAATGACTCGATTTAAACATTCAACCTTACAACATATGATCATGCGTCAATAATTTGAGTAGCAATGACGCGATTTCAACATTTATCCTTAACAACATATGATCATGAGTCAATAATCTGAGTAGCAATCATTCGATTCCAATATTTAACCTTAACATATGATCATGATTCAATAATTTGAGTAGCAATGACTCGATTTCAACATTTAAATAAAGGCAACAGTTTCTCGCTGCATTGAAGACCCATTGGTGGCCTTCGGCTGTTGTCTGCTCTATGGTCGGGTCGTTGTCTCTTTGACACATTCCCCATTTCCATTCTCAATTTTAACAGTAGTATACCGCTGTTCGAAACTCATAAATCGATATGATCATGCGTCAATAATTTGAGTAGCAATCACTCTATTCCAACATTTAACCTTAACATATGATCATGAGTCAATAATTTGAGTAGCAATCACTCGATTCCAACATTTAACTTTAACAACATATGATCATGCGTCAATAATTTGAGTAGCAATGACTCGATTCCAACATTTATCATCATGCTTCAATAAATTGAGTAGCAATCACTCGATACCAACATTTTTTTTGTACGATCATCCACCAGAGACCAAAGGGCATAGGCGGATCAAGGGGGGGGGGGCCTGGGGGGCCCGGGTCCCCCCTTTGGTGGGAAAAATTTGGTTGGTTATATAGGGAATCACTGAAGCATGACTGGAGCCCCCCCCCCCCCCCTCCTTTAGGTCAGTCAGCGGCCCCCCTTATGAAAAGTTCTGGATCCGCCACTGAAGGCTTAAGATGTAAACAACTACAGGTCACTGTAAGGCCTTCAATAATGAGCAAAACCCATACAGTATAGTCATCCATACAAGGCCACTGGATGACAGACTCTTGACACGGGGCAAGCACACACAGAATAAAATTTGTCCTGTCGAGAAATAAATAAAAGGGAAATTGACCCTAACTTTTATTTTTTGTCACGAAATTTACCTTAATTTAAATGATTGTCATTTCTTTTATTTTTATCATGTACATGTACACGTTTCACAGATTGTCAAACAGTATAGGTACATTATCATAATCTTTTATAATCTTTTTATTTCTTTTATTTCTAGGTGATGCATATGCCAAGTCAGGAATATGACAGTTGTTTTTCACTCGTTCCGTTGGTTGATAACGTGATTTTGTCAGTTTTTACGGACTTCCCCTTTTTAAATTTACCTTTGAGTTCGGTATTTTTGTTATACTTTTTCATATGACTAATTAATCTGTTTCATTTGTAATACTTAAATACATACAAAAGTTCCTAAATTGATTTTCTAAAGACGTAGACTAGTACTATAATCTATAACCTTTGTCTCATAAAATACCTTTACAACTTTTTGACATTATTAAAAACAATAACAAACATGACGTCAATCAAAAAACTTGACACCTATGTTTTTATTTTGTGTTTTGATTGGCTGATTTGTTCAACCGCATGGTTAATCTCTATCTCGCGTGATTCTTTGACTACTTAAATGATCGCTCACTAAATTACACGCGATGAAACAACCAAATATAATTGTGATCTTTCCACCTGGTCAGACTTACGCGACATGAACATTATTTTTTTTCTGAAATTAGAATATTTGTGACGTCACAACACGCCTTGACCCACGGGTACTGATTTTTTTGTTTTTTTCTTCTTCATATTTCCTTAGTAATACAAATATGGAATCTGTAGGTTTAATCAGTCGCTATATCTTCCCTTCTATGTACTATAGTAGCTTATGAGCTCAATGGCCAGATAAAAATCGCAGTAGATATAAAGGTTTGACATATTACTACTTTTGTGGACTTCCCTTTTAAAGTCGCCGTTGAGTTCATTGCATTTATCATTAATGATTTCAATTTTCCAACACCTTTAATTATATAATTACATAACATAGAAGTTAGATAGGATTCCGTGATTTTGATTGGCCGAGACATTCCAGAAGTTAAATATTTCCGGATAAAATGCAACATCTATGACTGCACTTGCTCTACGTGACAACATGAAAATAATGCATGGAAAAACAAACGAAAAGCTTCATTTAACTCGTAATTACATGTTTGTAGCATAAACATGTAAATATAAGAATGGAATGCTTTTTAAATTTT